GTTATGGACCAATCTTCACGAAATTTTGCATGTCGAATGAGTTCTGGCCAATGAAAACCCCTATTGTTTTTGGAAAAGATCGGTTAAAATTTAGGGGATGAAATGGACCAAAAACTTTATTTTTGTCGATTTTTCTGGTCGCTCCAGAGGCCGCAATTATACCCAAAACCCGCGAATTTTAGTATGGAGAAGGGGATCGGGCCAAAGAATAAGCATGTCTGTTTTGATAAAGATCGGTCAATATTTAGCGGATCAAATGGACCCTTACTTTTGTGTGAAAAATTGCAAAATTTGTATTCTATGTATTTGTATATATTTGGCCCTGAAGGAGAAGTTGATAGCATGTTCAAGAGGAGTAGTTGACCTTTAAATTGATACCAATTATATGGTCGTATGTCCTCAAATGTGGGAGTTACACTTAAATATTTACAGGTGCTTACGTATTCAGACATTATTTAGTAACCCATTACCACACTAGACGGCGGAAATATAGCGCTGATCGCTTTGAAATTATCCATGAAGTTCCAATTATGGAATTTTGGGATGAAGTGGACCGAAAACTTGTGTAGGGTATCATATGGTCGGCCCCGTCCGACTTACTGCTCCGCTCACTGTTTTTTTCTGGATTTTAGAATTTTTGGTATTTTTGACTTCATTACACACTCTATTTCACAGTGACCTATTAAAAGTTTGTAATGTTCAAGCGATGAGTTTGATTATTCAATATTAAAACCAGTAAGGAAAGTTCAAAAGTCGGATGGGGCCGACTATATCTTTGAAGGACCATATGACTTGGGTTCTTTGGTGTACCAAGTCTATGGAATCGTGCAAAACCGATTTCTGCAAAACTTCACAGACATTAAACCGGACTTTATTCGATAAGATGTGCAAAATTTTGCTCATTCGGACAAACCTTTGAAGTTTTGAATACCATTTAAATAAAATCGGACAAAACTATATATGGAAGCTATATCTAGATTTGAACCGTTTTCAACAAAACGCAGACATAAAACTGGACTTAATTCAGTACGCTGTATAATATTGGAAGTTTGGTGAACCACTTAAAAAAATCGGACGAAAATATATATGGGAGCTATATCTAAATCCGGACCGTTTTTCACGAAACTTAAGGGACATCATTCTAGACTTAATTAAGTAAGCTGTGCCAAAATTCGTGTAAATCGAAGGATATATAGGGACTTTGAGGTACCATTTACAGAAACTCGGACGAAAATATACATAGGAACTATATCTAAATCTGCACCGATTTTTATGAAACTTTGCATACATCATTCTAGACTCAATTCAGTACGTTATATGAAATTTCGTGCAAAGCGATGGAAATATAGAGGCTTTGGTGCATCATTTACATAAAATTGGACGAAATTATATATTGGGAGCAATATCTAAATCTGAACTGATTTTCACGAAATTTAACACACATCATTCTATACTTAATTCAGCACGCTATGCTAAATTTCGTATAAATCGAAAAAAATATAAGTGCTTTGGTACACTATTTACATAAAATAAGACGAAAATATATATGGGAGCTATATCTAAATCTGAACCGATTTTCACGAAACTTAGCACACATCATTCTAGACTCAATTCAGTACTCTATGCCAAATTTCGTGCAAATCGAATGATATATAGGGACTTTGGTGCACCATGTACATTAAATCGGACGAAAATATATATGGGAGCTATATCTAAATCTGAACTGATTTTTACAAAACTTAGCACACATTATGCCATCGAAAGTTGTATAGACGTTAGGGCACCATTTACATAAAATCGGAAGAATATATAAGGGAGGTATATCTAAATCTTTACCGATTTTTATGAAACTTTGCACACATCATTCCAGACTGAATTCAGTACACTATATGAAATTTCGTGCAATGTGATGGAAATATAGAGGCTTTGGTGAAGCTTTGGTGAGGCTTTACTTTAAATCGGACGAAAATATATATGGGAGCTATATCTAAATCTGAATCTATTTTCACGAAACTTAACGCACATTATTCCACACTCAATTCAGTACGCCATGCTAAATCTCATGTAAATCGAATGTTATATAGGGCACCTTTTACACATAGTCGGACGAGAATATATATAACAGCTATATCTAAATCTGCACCGATTTTTATGAAACTTTGCACACATTATTCCAGACTGAATTCAGTACGCTATGCGAAAATCGTCCTTGGGCAAATAAATGATCTATGCCAAATTTCATCTCAGTCGGATAATAAATGCGACCTGCACTTTGTTTAGAATTTAATATGGACAGACAGACGGACGGGCGGACGCACGGATGCATAAATCAAAATAAACCATGGGTTTATCTCGTTTCCTTATGCATGTTACAAAAATTTTGTATGTTAGTGTTTATTTAAGGGAACACCCCCCTCCCCGTTTTTAATTTTCCCAGATTTTCAATGGGTTGGTAAATCAATACCAATGATTGTTAATGTTTGTAACTTTGCATATATATATTTGAAGATTTTAAAGAGAAGAAAAATAATTTACAAAAAATGTTTGTTATTGTTTTGTTCTTGTTTTTATAACCTTCACCACTCAGTGGTACAGGGTATTATGTCTTTGTGCATATGTTTGTAACAGGCAAAAGGAAACGAGATAGATACATGGTTCCTTTTGAGAATATGCATAGGATAACTTTCTGAGTCGATTTATGCATGTCCGTCCGTCCGTCTGTCTGTCGATGTTAAATTGTAAACAAAGTACAAGTCGCATTTATGATCCGAATTGGATGAAATTTAGCACAGGCCACTTATTTGGCTCAAGGACAAACCCTATTGAAATTGGGAAAAATCGGTTCAGATTTCGATATAGCTCCCATATATACTTCGTCCGATTTAATGTAAACGGTCCCTATATATCTTTTGATTTGCACGAAATTAGGCCCAGCGTAATGAATTAGGTCTAGAATGATGTGTGCAAAGTTTCGTGAAAATCGGTTCAGATTTGGATATAGCTCCCATATATGTTTTCGTCCGATTTAAGGAAAATGGTGTACAAAAGTCTCTATATATACTTCGATTTGCACGAAATTTGGCATAGCCTACTGAATTGAGTCTCGAATGATGAGTGGTGAGTTTCGGGAAAATCGGTTTAGATTTCGACATATCTCCCATATATGTTTTCGTCCGATTTTATGTTAATGGTGCACCAAGGTCCTTATATATATATATCCTTCGATTTGCACAAAATTTGGCATAGCGTAATGAATTAAGTCTAGATCAATTGTATCAATTTTGCTATAAATCGTTTTCTATAAATTTTCCCCATGTTACGCAGGCGGCTCTAAATCTGCTCGAATGAAATTAAAGATAGGATAGGTTGGAGAAAGAGGGAACATAGGCATGCAATTGTTAGGATACATATGTACAATATACCCAAAGTGGTGAAATGTATCATATGGTCGGCCCAGTCCGACTTTACTACTTTCCTTACTGGTTTGTAATTAAAGAAAAGTCCTTATTTGTGATGGCGGGCATGATAACTCCCCACTGGAACATCGGAATCCGAAAATTCCAACGGTGTTAGAAAGAGCACATGTCTGTTTCTCGTATGAACTAGGATTATTGACTTCGCTCTAAAATTAACAAAATGGCGTACCCTTGAAAAAATATTTTTGGAAAATCGCACATTTTTTACAAAAACCATGTTAAAAAATAAGGAAGATCTTCACCGATTGGCTTAATCCTAGTTCATACGATAGCTATACACTCACAGAGAAACGTGTAAAAATTTGGAATCGATTGGGTCATTAGTTTTTGAGTTATCATGCCCGCCATTCACAAAAGAGAAAACGCGTTTAAAGTTTGAAAAGCCCTTTAGCCGTCACTTAATGCTGACACAATAAATCGGCTATATCTTCAAGAGTTCTTGAGATTTTCACTTGAAATTTTGTAGGGGCATTCTTGAATTAGTGTAGATTAGAATTAAATAAAAAAAAATGACCCCGAGAATGGACCCCCCCCATTCTCGGGGTCAATTTTTTTTAATTGGAATACTCAAGAATTTTCTCAATTGTCTTAACATCAATATTTTGAGTTGTTACTAAAGAAATTAACGTATAATACAGCTTATGGAGTAGTGTAGATAAATTTATAACTAATAGTTATTTTTAATATATTGTGGATATCCTTACATAAATTTCCATCAACGGATTACATAAATTCACTTCACTTCATTTTGGGATTGACCACCTGGATTTCACTCCCTAGCGAGCAAATCCCGAATATATTAACAATACTACCGCAATTTAAAATGCAACACAAGTGTTTACCAGCAATAGCAAGACTGGAGAATCCAACACCATCGATGTGGTTGTTGTCATATTTGAATGAAAATTAAATGCACTTCTGAAAACAACAACAACAACAAAAAAAGAATACTTTATGCATTTTATATATGAGGACGCATAGAGGAATCCATTTCAATTTGTTTGCTTGTAATAACAGTTTATGTGTGTATGTGCGCATGGCGTGGTTGTGTGTGTTTTTTATTTTATATGGTAATACCGAAAACTAATTTAAATAAAACGGAAAAATTGAGTGTAATATGTTTTACTCCATTTCGTTTTTCCATGAAAATGCATTTAATTTATTTTTTGACATAATAAAACAAAATTGTGACTGGTCGCAGGGAAATAAATGAAGGACTAACGGAAATGAAACTGAATTATAAATAGCATACCACCTGCATAAAGATAAGTTTTAATATTTGACGCCGATGGCAGTGTTCCATATTTCGATTTTTTTCGATTTGTAAACTAAAAAGTTTTCCCTACATGCTTTCTTTTTTTGACTTATTTAATATCTTTTCGTTTTTGTTTGCAGAAAAAGTTGGGTTTTTAGATTTGTTTGTGTTCTTCTGTTTTTTTGGGGACGATGCGATCGATTTAATTTGTTTTTTTTTCTGGGGACAATTCATATCTATGTTCGTGTTTGTGCTTTTCTTTTACTTACCGGTGGGGTTTCGAACAGCATAACTTCCGTGCCTTTCAATATTAAAAATCGAGGCTTATAACTTTGCCATGAAATGTTATTATTGATGACACCTTCATTCACCCAGCCCATGTATTCAATCCGTTCACCAACGGCAAAATTTCGATTATAAAGTTTCATCTAAAAAGGGGAATGGAAAATAAACAAAGAAATTATTTCTAAACTTATTTGGGTTGAAAGGAAAATAACAAAATTTAGCTGTTAGCAATTATGGTAATTTGGTAGGAAATTGTAACTTTTTTCACAAAAATTAGATCACAATGTGCAACAAATTTTGAATTTTTTGATAATTATCGGGAAATTTCTAAAAATTCAAAACATCTGTATTTTAAGAAAAAGGCCAAATAAAAGTCGACCAAGGCAATCGGCCGAGAATATTGCTGCCGTACGAGCCAGTGTTGAGAGGTCCCCAAGAACATCCCAAAAACGCCGTTCTCAGCAGTTGGGCATGGCTCGGTCCACTTTACAACGGATTATTCGCATTGATTTGCATTTGTTCCCGTACAAAATTCAATTGACGCAAAGAATGTTGCCTGCGGACAAGCCTCGTCGATTGGAATGGGCCCAAAGAGTCATCGAAATGGCCGAAGATGACGAGCAATTTTGGAACAAAATTATCATGTCCGATGAAGCCCATTTCACATTGAATGGGACCGTAAATAAGCAAAATTGCCGTTTTTAAGCCACTGAAAATCCTCAGGTGATTCAAGAAGTGCCTCTTCATGACGAAAAAGTCACAGTTTGGTTCGGCGTTAGTGCGAAATCGGTCATTGGGCCGTTTTTCTTCCAAAATGAAAATGGCCATGCTGTTACCATCAATCGGGAGCGTTATCGCGACATGATGACCAATTCTGTGATGCCAATTATTCGTCAAAAGCGTATGAGGCAGTTCTGGTTTCAACAAGACGGCGCTCCACCGCACACAAGTCGCATAACAATCGATTTTCTGAAGAATTTGTTTCCGGGCCGTTTAATGTCGAAAAGTGGTGATTTGGACTGGCCACCGCGTTCGCCCGATTTGACGCTGCCTGACTTATTCTTGTGGGGATATTTGAAGTCAAAGGTTTACGTTAACAAGCCAAGGACCGTAGAAGAGCTCAAGGACAACATTCGTGAAGATATAACCGCTATTCCGGCCGAAATGTTGGCAAAAACGATGGAAAATGCAGCAAAAAGGGCACAATACGTCATCAACGCCAGAGGCGGCCATTTGAGAGATATCATATTCAAAAATTGATGTAAACAAATCTACTTGGAACAAATTAAATGATTAACATTGCCAACCGCCAAATTTTTATTTTTTTCTTTGATTAAAAGAAAAAAGTGGGTTCGTCGAATATGGGCAACCCTGTATATTATTAATGTGAGAACAACAGGTTAACCTCCAGTTGACTCTCTAAGGGGCTATTTTCGGTCCCCTTTTCCAGAAATGATTGAAATCTCATAAAAAACTACAAAAATGTTCGCCATATAGTTTTACTATAAGTCTCAGAATAGACCAAAACTCGAAAATCATCATGTCAAAAATCTTAAAACATGAAAACTCATTTTATTGTTAAAACCGATCTTATTCCGCGTTTGTATCATTTTTTTCCACAAGATTTTAGAATAGAATGAAGGACAAAAATGTTCTTCGTCAAATTTTAACAAGAGAAATCGGTATTTGAACAGGAGAAATCGGTATATATAATATGTATATACTGAATATATAGACGTCAATTTAGGACAAAACTTCAAAAATATTAGCAATTTTTTCATAGAAATAGTACTTTTCCGCTAACTGTATGGAAGTAACATGAAACAATTTTTCGCCCTCAGTGTAAAGATTAAAATATTCAAAGTTCACTATGAGTCAAAAAAAAAAAAAAAAATCAACCGAAAATACTAAGCAATATCATAACTCATATGCACTTTTAAATATTTACGTATAACTCCTACATTCAACCACTGCTCTTGGATATACTATCAACTTCTCGGGTCCTTCCTGTCCTTTAGGTGTAAATATGTATGCCACAGAATCGAAATTTTGATTTTGTTAAACAAAAGTCTGGGTCAATTTGAACTGCTAAATTTTTGGCCTATACCCTAAACCTTAGTCGATCATTTCCAAGAAGAATAGGGATATTCCTTGGCCTGAACCGTTCCTAACTGTGGGCTGTAGCGTGTATACAAATTATAATGGTCGGACGGTCAAACTGACGGACATATATGTCTATATCGACTCAGCTAGTCGATATATAATGATTGAAACAGTTTCCTATATCTATAAAGAACACATAATTATTTTCGTCCGATTTCATGTCAGTGGTTCCCCAAAGATGCTAAAATCGGGCGAAGCTCCCATATATAGTTTCGCCCGATTTAGTTAAATATATCTAAATCTGAACCGATTTTCTCGAAACTTGGCAAATATCATTCTAGACCTTATTCATTACGCTGTGCCAAATTTTGTGCAAGTCAAAAGATTTCCAAGGACTTTAGTGGACAATTTACCTAAAATCGGGCGAAGCTATATATGGGAGCGATATCTAAATCTAAACCGATTTTCTCAAAACTTTTCACACATCATTCTAGACATAATTCATTACGCTGTACCAAAATTCGTGCAAATCAAAAGATTTCCAGGGACTTTAGTGGACTATTCACCTAAAACCGGGCGAAAAAATATATGGGAGCTATATCTAAATATGAACCGATTTTTCAATTTCAAAAATTCGTCCTTGGGCCAAATAAATGAGCTGTGCCAAATTTCATCCAATTCGGATTATAAATGTGACCTGTACTTTGTTTACAATTTAACATGGACAGACAGACAGACGGACGAACATGCATAAATCGACTTAGAAAGTGATTCTATGCATATTCTCAAAAGGAACCTTGGGTCTATCTCGATTATTTTTGCCTGTTACAAACATATGCACAAAGACATAATACCCTGTACCACAGTGTGGTGAAGGGTATAAAAAGAGGGTTATATGGGGACTACCCCAAAAAGGGAGCGAATATTAATAATTTTTGGTAGGGAGATTTGTTGCCATACATGACTACAAAATACCAAATTACAGCAGATTCGGTTGAAAACCGCGACCAAAAACCCCAAAATACCGAAAAGTGGGGTTACCCTTATATGGGGGCTATCTGAAAAAATGGACCTATATTCATAATTTTTTTGTGGGGAGATTTGGTATCTATTAAAAACTCAAAATACTAAATTACATCTAATTCGGCGGAAAAATACGATCAAAACCACAAAAATACTGATAATTAGGAGGTACTGTTATATGAGGAGTACCAGAATAAGTGGACCTATATTAATAATTTTTTGTGGAGACATTTAGTACCCAATAAGAACCCAATGTAGCAAATTTCACCGAATTTGTTCGAATTTGGCGCTCAAGAACCCCAAAATATCGAAAATTGAGGGGTAACGTTATATGGGGGGTACCAGAAAAAATAACCTATATTTATAATTTGAATTTCGGTTGAAAAACACGCTCAGGAACCACAAAATACAGAAAATTGGGTTGGAGGGGGTGTACCCTTATATGGGACGGACGAACGGACAGACGGACGGGCATGGCTAGATCGTCTTAGAATTTTACCCTGATCAAGAATATATATACTTTATAGGGTCGGAAATGAATATTTTGATGTGTTACAAACGCAATGACAAAATTAATATAGCCTCCATACTATGGTGAAGGGTATAAAAAGGGGATTATATGGGGACTACCCATAAAATGGGGCGAATATTAATAATTTTTGGTAGGGAGATTTGTTGCCATACATGACTACAAAATATCAAATTACAGCAGATTCGGTTGACAACCGCGCCCAAAAACCCCAAAATACCGAAAATTAGAGGGTACCCTTATATAGGGGCTACCTGAAAAAATTTACCTATATTTATAATTTTTAGTAGAGAGATTTGCTACGCAATAAGAACTCAAAGTACCAAATTTCAGCGAATTCGAAAAACGGTCTCAAGGACTTACAAATTCCGAAAATTGGGGGTACCCTTATATGGGGGCTACCCGAAAAGATGGACCTATATTTATAATTTTTTGTGGAGAGAATTGATACCCAATAACAACTCAAAGTACTAAATTACTGCCAATTCGGTGAACAAATCCAGTGAATTCGGTTGAAAAACGTGCTCAAGAACCACAAAATACTGAAAATTGGGGGTACCCATATATGGGAACTATGCCTAAACGTGGACTGATATAGCCCATCTTCGAACTTGACCTGCCTGCAGACAAAAGGCGACTCTATGCACAATTTTGGCGTTCTATCTCAATTCGTTTAGACGCTAGAGTGATTACAACAGAAAGACGTTGAAGGGTACTATGGTGGTGGGTATAAAAATACCAGTCGCTGGACTAAATATTCTCCTTTGCATATACAACCCATTCCATTTTATGTTTCCGGGCACATTCACTTTCTCCAAATTGTTATAAATATTTAATTAACTATAAAATGCTGCAAAACATTTCACTTTCGGTTTATTCGTACATACACATAACGTGTCGTTCGCTTATGACATTTGACAAGACGGTGTGATGTGAAATCTGTGACAGAAGTGAATTTCAAACCATTTGTCACTTTAAGAGATCGTAAATTCTTCAACGACAAATTCTCATTTTTATTTCCATTTTATTTTGTTTTTTTTTTTTGTTATGTTTCTCAAACAGACTAATATCATGCACAAAGGAATATAAAAACAAACAACTACAGCAACAACAACAAGAGGAAAACAACAGCAACAATAATGTCAACATCAGTAGACAAGTATTTGTGAATGGATATCTATCTAGACGATGACAGACAAAGGACATTCATATAAACCGACATATACTGGTATATGTGTACGTGTGTATGTGTGCATTGGATTTAATGCTGTAAATATTTGAAATTTTTTATTTTCTCTTTCTTTCTCTTTACGTCAGTCGTTTTTAATGCATCAATTTTCTCTCAATTTAATTTTGCCCAACACTGCTGTAAATATTTGAAATTTTTTGTGGCATCAATTTTCAAACGAATGTATGGATATACTCAAGCAATGGTTAGGAGTTTTACTTTTTTTTGAGGTGTTTTTGGATGCACTTAAATGTGGGATA